TGTATGGCAAGGCTTCACTGCAGGAGACAAATTTTAATTTGATACTTTTTAATAAAATGTTTTAAATGATACGACCTCCGTTATTTAAATGATCAATTGTATTGAAAAGAATAGAAGCTTTTTTTAACCCAAAGCTGCCGTTAGAGAAAGACAAGGAGCCCTGTCTAAATCGCACAAAAACTTGACACATATACAAACGTATTTGTGCTTTTCAGACAGAGTGAAGGAGTTTGCTTGCAATTGCTGTCAATTAAAAAATAATAAATTAGCCGATGTTGGGTGCCAACTTGAATTTCTGTTGCCATGGTATCAAAACATTCATCTTTACTTGTATTGGAGTTAAAAATTCTGGTATTGTGACAACTAGAAATCGGTCTTGGTCTCAAAACCACTTTTTGAAGGTCTCTGTCTCGGAATTGAAAGCACTTTGACTCGGTCTTGTCTCGGTCTCAGACTGGGCGGACTCCGGATTTTAAATCAAGACCGGTCAAGACCACAACTGACACAATTTTTCCAAGTCATTACTGTGATTAGAAGGAAAACGCCTCTTTCTAAAATAACTAATAACTTCAATTAATTTGTAGTTTGATTTTTATCCCTCGGTAAAACCTGCAACCTTCCAGATGTTTCAGTCTAAGTGAGTGACACGCCCCCTTCACACAAGTTGATGATTTCTCAGTTATATTCATGGTCCTGGTCTTGACTCCCTCTTGGAGCACTCTGGTCTCAGGTATGTCTTGGTCTCAGTTAGTTCACTCACGACAACAACACTAGTGACGACTCAATGCAGCACTACAGTAAAATAATGTTTGGTCCTAAATAAATCAAAAATATAAATAACTAATAAAATCCAGCTCCTTTTCTTAATAAAGTGAGCAGTCAGTAACAACAATCCTTCATGTCATATAACGTGGTGACTCGTAAGTTGATCTGGTTAAACAGGTATGCTGCTGACAGTTCAACAGTGAAGAGCAAGACACACCTTGCAGGTAATAAAGAATAGACAGCATTATCAAACCATTGCTTATTAAAAATTAAACAATAAGTGAAACAGGAGTTCTTGTTTCAGAGCAGTACTGATGTGTGATGCACTTTCACTCTTTAACTACATTATGGGATGAATTTTAAAATTCCAATTAAATGATATAATACTGAAAGGTGAAGTTCTGTGGACTGTAGATGGTATCAACACTGCTTTGGTCCGGTTTATTGACTGACAACTAGAGGTTGGAAAAAAAATCGATTTATTTAAAAAAAATCTAAAAAAAAGATTCTTATCTAAAGAGATTTTAAAAATATTCATAAATTCCCTTTTTGTGGCTATTATCAGTCACTCCCTGCTAAGTGTTAATGCTATCTCTTTCACACAGTAGAATGCCAAATAGAGCAGCAAGAAATTCAGCAAGTCTCACAGATGACTGGAGGAGATCCTGAAGTATGAACTTATTCAAAAATAGACTTTGAAACCATAAATCCAGAATCTTTTTAAATCAAATCGTGACTCCAAGAATAGAAATCTAATCGTGAGACACCCAAAGATTCCCAGCCCGAGCGACAACTGTTCCAATTGTGCGATGGCAGAATAAATCCTAAAGAACCTGTACCTGACACATGTTTGTTGATGATCTCCTTGTCTTCATCCTGCAGTTCCTCCCAGCCCTCCAGATCTGTGATGTCCTCGATCTTCTTGGTGGTAGCTCTTGCCCTTTCCAGCTTTTCGAATATGCACTTCACATGATGCCACTCCTTCATCTCTCCTGCAGACTCGCTGAAGGGGTTTGGCACAATCTTCCCTATGCGCACTATGCCCTTTTGGATTTTGTCCTTGCATTTCTTGCATCCTGCGGTGCCTCGTTTGGCGTACTCCACTATGAACCTTTGTTCTGACATGTCAGGCTCGCTGGAATAACACCGATGTTGGTAGAAACGGGGAGGATTGTTTTGGAGAAGTCTTCTCTTTTGGATAACCACAGAGAAGGGATGGATGTCCCTGAAAATCTGCAACGAATCACCAGTTGTAGGTTTGAAGCATGAAGACACAGAAGAGGCTCTACACTCTCCCCACGGCCTGATAAGTGTGCCAAGAAGTTGTCGACCTATCCAAACAGCCCTCTGAGTCAACAGAATTAGCTGTCTCTGCATCCAGAGGTGATAGTGGGCGGGTTACAACCTAAAAAAAAAACAAAGGAACACATTGATTTAGACAATTACGAGTCCTAAAGTAAGGCTGATACCATATCAACTGACTATCTGTCTATCTGTGTGCAACATGTCTGACCATGACCCGCTGATAATCTATCCTTTAACTTTCCATGTTTTTATCTCAGTGTCTCAATTTGCTTAATAAAATAAAATAAATAATAAATAATAAAATAAAATTAAATAAAATTAAATTTTTTTTTAATTTAATTTAACTTAATTCAATAATAATAATAATAATAATAATAATAAAAATAAATAGAATAGAATAGAATAGAATAGAATAGAATTACTTTATTGATCCCAAACTGTGAAATTGTGGCGTTACAGCAGCAGGTTGTCCAAACACACAATATTAGGAAATCTAAACACAATATAATATTAAATACAAAGTAAATAAGCACTAAAAATATCAAAACTAAGAATGAGAATATAAACAACCAGGATTTAATTTAGCATTACTAGTCTTAAATATGAAAGATTAAATGTAAATGTGCAAAACAGAGTTGTAAATGGTCAGTATTGACATAAGTTAAAAACATATTATCAGCAGAAACTATTCAATATAATCTGTGTGCAACATGTCTGAACATTTCCTGCTGTAAGATGATTTACAGCCCAATGATCCTGCAAACATGTAAACAAAGTAGTAGATACAATTATATAACTTTAATAATAACTCATTGTTTAGTAAGGTGTTATCTAATACTTTTCGTGCATGTGTACAGATAATGTCTTCATTTACTGCAGCTACTTCTTTGTCAGTAAAGTCAAACATTAGTGTAAAGTGTGTTTTACTTTCCGACTAGTGACACGAAGTCAATGGTTAGGCTGGCTACTTGATTAGCATTAGCATCGACGTTACACACTAAGTCCCACACACAACAAGAGGGCAGGCTAATAATAAATTATGCAAAAACTAGGATAGAAGTGTTGACTTTCTGCTGATATCTTCACAAATATTAAGCTACTGTACCTCGTCGGAGCTTAGTTTTATATGAAAGAACGGTTAGTATCGCTGCACCTTCTCATTGTTGTGAGCTAACGGCTAAGCGGTATCAAGTTAACGGACATTAAGCACTTCCGGGCTTGCTTTTTCAAAATAAAAACGCCAACGCGAAAAATGTTTTAATATTGCAATACTCGCGAACTAAAGTTATATTTATGTGCGTGTGAAACCGTAATATACCTCGGACATTACGTTACCCCACCTATCAGACAAAATAAAAAAAGAATTGAGTGTAAGAATAGGTGCCGTTCTAACTTTATTTTGTAGGATTTATTTAACATACCGGAAACTCTCTGTGAAATCCTTTTAACTTGCGGCAGCTTTTGAAAAATGTACACGGCATGGGCAACCGTGGCAAGCACGCGAAATGGGGCGGGATTTGGATTAAAGTAACTGTTCTGATTGGATAGCCAGAGTGTATGGGCGTGAATGGACTTTTAATACAAACAGCACCACCTGCTGGATGAGCCCAAGAAGTACAAATAAGAACCTATAAAAATATAAATAAAGGGTTTTATAACTATTTTTGAGCTTTATTGTTATATTATTAATTGTATTCATGCTTTGCGGGAGAAGTGCATTTATATACAAATTATTAGTGCAAAATATAAGATTTTTCTCATGCTTTATTTAGGAAAATAAATACAAACAGTAACCATGATTGCCGCATATTCAGTGTGTTATTTTGTGGGGTTTGTGAGGATGGTGATGGTTCTCTGCTCCCTTTCTATTTTCCTGATTGCCCTTTCCTTTGCCAGTCACATGAGGAAACAGTCATGCATTGCTATTAAAGTTGTCAGTTACCTGCAAGAGTATTTATAGTGGATTTACAGTGCAGTTTTGATTTGCTTATTTCCATATATTCTATACATATAAAAGTCTGAGTAAGAATACCTAATGATTAGTATGCACCATCAATATCTCATTGTAAAATGCACAAACAAGATATATATTTAAATATAAAGGCGGGTGGTCTACTTTATTTGTTCACTTCATTTGTCTGTCTACTCGCCGTTATATGAATAGTTTCTGCTGATAACATATCTACACTCATGCACTTTAACTTATAGAATCACTGATTGCACAGTTCCCTATGTCAATACTGATCATTTACAACTCTGTTTTTGCACATTTACATTTAATATTTAATATTTAAGACTAGTAATGCTAAGTTAAATCCTGGTTGTTTATATTCCTCATTCTTAGTTTTGATATTTTTAGTGCTTATTTACTTTGTATTTAATATTATATTGTGTTTAGATTTGCTAATGTTGTGGTTTTTACTCATATTGTGTGTTTGGATAACCTACTGCTGTAACGCCACAATTTCCCAGTTTGGGATCAATAAAGTTATTCTATTCTATTCTATTCTATTTATTGAAATCAAACTCCATCACAAAATGATAGTAAAAAACAAAACATTGCACTGCACATCTTTTGTCCTGAAAAACCAAAATGTTTCCATTTGGTGTTCATCAGGAAAGCCAGTGCTGTTAAGGGAATCTAAACTGTTTTTTATCATCTATCATGTGGCTTCATTATCTGTTAATAAAATAGTTACCACATGTCAAACCAGTCTTGCCAGTTCCGCAAAAAAAAAAACCCTCCCCCTGCTGCACTTTCTCTCCAACCTTAAAGCCGCAGAAGCCCGCTTTAAACAAATTGTAAACACGCCTGAAACACATCAGCGGTTGTCTACGTAAAAGGCGTAGATGTGACCAGAACTCAATGCGAGCACGGACTATTTCTTGCGCACATTTCCTCCGATAATCGCGAGAAGTGAGGTGAGCTGCGTTTCTGCGCAGTGCGGATGCGCGGAGGAGATGTCGGCGGGGAGGGAGGACCCAGATACATTATTGACGCTGTTCCAGTCGCTACTCTTCTTGAGATATTTCTCACCAGGGCTGCAGTGAATTACAGAGCAAAAAGAATGGGAAGGAGTATACGTGGTGTCGATTGCACTGAAAGTCTGGCTGTCTCCACCGAACACCGACTTTTGTTGTTCCGCGGTATCTTCAGGAGGGACTAGGGGACGCGAGCGAAGCAAAGCGAAGCAGGGAAGCTAGCACCACAGACTAGCAAAACTGTGGCCCACAACAAACCTCCAAGCTAGCATCCGTCGCATGCACCGACAGAAAAAATGGTGAGAGCTGCTCATGTGTTGGTTTGTTCGTTTAACCAGTTTTATCCTTCAAAAATGTCACGACTGTCACGTTGCTGTGACATCCAGGTGTTACGTCGAGAAATGCATCCCTGTAGATAATTGCACGCACCTTCGCGGAAGTGCCTTTGGAAACCTGGATCAGGTGGAATCTGTGATGACAAAGAAAGTAGCCTATCTGAAGTTTATACTTAATTAAGGTTCCTTCTTGTTGGGTAGACTCCGCTGAAGACGTTTTTTCATCATCCTGTGTGAATGTGACCTGCAGACAGTGTTTTGACTATGAAGTGTGCGTAGAGTAAACTGAAGAGTGGATGCAAAACACGGCAGCATAGTGTTGTAAGAGTGGATGCAAAACACGGCCAGTGTGGAAATTGTGTATGCCATATTTTTTTGCATTGTCCCGCAAGGTGCATGCATTTCTCAGCAGGGGTGCAATTCCTGGTATAACACCGGAACAATTGTCTGAGGGCCAGACAGGCAGACAGTCAGGCAGACAGGCAGACAGGCAGGCAGGCAGGCAGGCAGGCAGGTAGCTTAGCTTGCAGAGCTACAAGGTTGACAGCAGCATGTCACCTGGCTGCAGTCAGGAGGAAAAACACAGCGCACTACTCCACACTCCTGCTGTCTGACAGCTCCTTATTGTGCACAGTGTTCATTAGAGCATCTTATTGTTCCTGCATTTCAATGACACTGACGTTTGTTCTTTTGAATGTCATCTTCAGAAGTCCATTGTGAGATCTTTGTGAAGTCTCACATCTGTAATTTCCATATAAGACAGATGATAAGACAGATGACACTTTGAGAAACCAACAGCACACCGTCGTCTTTAGATTTGGTCTTCAGCAAATGATGCAAAAAGCCTGCAATAGATCCAATACTCGTCTTGGTCTTTGGAGCTTGAAACAACCTGATAAATCACACCTGTGTGACCGGTGTTTGCAAAGGAAGCTCACATAATGTCCCGTTGAATTAGTGTTCAGTGTGTCTTTAGAAACAGGTTGGTGTTTAGTTTAATGTAAAAATAAAAACTAAAAGATAAAGAATAAGTTAATTGTCTTGAAGTGTGACATTTGCACAGCTACATGTTTTCAGGTTCACCTCTGGTTGGTAGAGCTGGTGTTTACAGATCGCTTTGTCAAATATTGCCTCATCATGTCATTACAGTCAAAGCTGCCAAAACTCTGGAACAGCCTTTCCCTCGTCCATCACATCGGCTCAATCTGTGGCCTCTTTTCAAACGCTCTTCTTTACGCTAGCCTTTGAATAACTCCTCCTGTTTGTCCGATATGATGCCCCCCCCCCCCCCATATGTGACTTGTTGTGTATATGGATGTTTGCATTTTGGTATATCTGAATCGCACTGTTTTTCCTTTCTCTTAAACATTTTATTATTATTTTACACAGAGCTGAAACATCCATGCTGAGAGTCCATTAAAGGCTTTATATGTGATTTTTTGATCCAGCAGATGTCGCCCTTGAGCTCCAGCATGAAACCAAAACAACTCGCGCTGCATTGTTGTGTTAGCATGCTAATGCTACGATCTTTATTATGCTCGTATCTTCACACTGCATGTAAATTTACCTGAAATGAGCGTGATCTAGAAACACAGTTAAGCAGTGAGTACAGTATGTTATTCTTCTTTTCTCTAGTCCCTCAATTAAACAACTTTTATACACGAGGGGAGGAGTCAGCCGGCCGTCCTGGCGATGTAAACAAAGTGAAGATAGGACTCTGAAAACTCTGAAAACATCACAGACAGTGGGACTCGGGTGTTACACCCATTGTAGACAGTCATGACTCACAGAGTTATTTTCAGAGGAGATACTTGATTTCTACATTTAAGTGAGAAGAATCACAGATAAAGACTTTAAGTTTGGGCTGGGTATTTCCCACAACCCCTACGATATGGTATACATTCAAATATTTCAATCTCAGAGCTGTGGCTATGATGTTATTGTGAACGGCACGATGGGTCAGTCGACTTCTCTGTCATCACAACTTTGCAGCCGGATCCATTCTGTAGCGTCTGCAGCTGTACATGTGTTTCCAAGGACCACATGACGATTTATAGATTTTTTTTCAGCACAGCTTTAAGTTACACACAGATGAACAACATGAACAGTTTGACTGTATTTCTCTCTTTGTGACCTCATCGTGTGCGCTGTCAGGTATTGAAGAAGATTTGAATTACACTCCCTTTAATTTTATACTCTAAACTTTTAACCACAGTCTTCTTTTGTCTGAGACTGCCACTCGTATGAATCATATTCCAGTGGCTCGTTTCACTGATGCATCACTTTTTTAAAATATTCAAAACGGAGAGTCCTGTCGCCGGGGCAACTATTACCTGCATATTTTTCATAAGTCTGTGCAGTCAAAGATCTTAAAGACTCTTTGTGAAGGCTGATTATTCACCGCTGATGTTTGATTGAAACCCGTATGACTCATGAGATGATTGTTTCATTTGTCCACGTGCAGGTGTACCTGTTGAATCCTATAGACAACCTGAGAAGCTACATCAACAACCGTCCGCCGCTGGTCATTTTTATGATCAGCGTCAGCGCGGTGGCCATTGCCTTCCTGACCATCGGTTATTTCTTCAAGATTAAGGAGATCAAGTCTCCGGAGCTGACGGAGGTGAGTCACAGCCACGCAGAGAAGAGGGAGTAAATATCATCTGCTCCAATAAAGTGCCTCTCGAGCACCAGCTGAAATGTCAGCTCGTGACCTTAATGCTGCGAGGAATCATTACTGCAACGGTTTGAACTCTTGTCGCTTCCTGTTTTTGACCAACTCAGACTTTTCTGAGTGTCGCCGGGAAAATGAAGTGATGTTACAAGTTACATTTATTAGGAAGAGCAATGAAGGAATCAAAGTCTTCTTCAAATACAGAGAGAGCTATATGTGACCTTTGACCCCTTTTTAAACTGCTCTAATGTACATGCCAATGTAAAGACTGGTATCGAGTAATGGAGCTGTTTTCAGACGGGAGGAGGTCTCCTGAGGTAGCGTCTGCTTTACCAGTGCTTCTCAAAGTGTGGGCCGCAGCCCCTGGTGGGCCGTGTGGGTACTGCAGGCGGGCCTAAAAATATAAGAAATATCACAATAATGATGATTTACCATGAGTCAACCCTTTAAGTGATTAGGAAGGATTATCATGACAATTCATGGACATAATGTTTAGTAAACGTTTTGTGTCTATCTTACCATAATATCATGTTGTCATGTCCAATAATTTAACCTAACTCAAAGTTATAGATGTAGTCTTATAACGGGCCCTGGAGTATTTCAAAGCGGGCCGCGGCAGTCTGAAGTTTGGGGAAGGCTGCGCTATACGACGCTATAATGAGAATATTTGCTTTTATATCAGTGCTACATGTAGTTCAACAGAATCACAATATCTACAAAAGAGTGGAGAAGAACAAACTGGAGACCAGGAAACACAATGCAGCCGTTTAAATACATGCATGCAGATCGTAGCGGTCGCATGCGGACACTCTATGCCTGCAGCGGTCACAGAATATAAACATCAATCCCCCCTCCTATTGGCTCGAGGTGAATTCTCCAGAGAATATCCTGCTGCGTTCTCACATCAGCCCACTCGGACTTGCTCCTGGAAATATCCAGAGTTTTTCAGGAGTTTTCTTGAAGTGTGGAAGCACTAGAAGTGGATGTGGATAAACCTTTGCATATTAATCTGAATAGTAAAAAATAAATGCTTTTCAAAATTGCACCTCCAGATACAAATCAGACGTCCTTGGGTTTCCCGAAAGGCGCTGTACAAATCAGACTAAGATCTAAGTGTACAGGTGAAATACATTACAGGAAAGCATTTCAACAGTCACACACCGGTTTGACCTGCTAAACGTTCCTCTGATGCTCCAACACTCTGTCTGCTGTCTCCTTTGTCAAATCGGTCATTTTCATTCAAATATGTTTACGCAGCCTAGAAAAAAACACCGTCTATAATCAGTTTATAAATGTTGGATCTCGACTTGGTCTCCTCTCTTAACGATGGAAACATATCTTCTGTAGGACTGGAACACCTTCCTGCTGCGCTACAACGAGCTGGACTTCTGCGTGTCGGAGAACGAGACGATAAAGCACGGCCTGAACGAGTCGACCACGCCGGAGAGCATGGTGGTGACCAGCGGTCAGGCTCGCTCCAGCACCCAGGTCCCCCTCCTGCTGGAGGACTCGGGTCCCATCAACATCTCGGTCCCCATCACCCTCACGCTGGACCCCCAGCGCCCCTTTGGAGGCTACTCGCGCAATATCACTCATCTGTACGCCACGGTGCTGGGGCAGCAGGTCGGCCTGTCTGGTAGGTCGTTTTCTTTTTTACTGTTCAGAAGCAGAACGAGTTTGTGTTAACGGGAAAAGAGTCCAAGTGAGTTAGATACAGCTACGTCAGGTCGGGACTAAAGGTGGTACTCTGTGTGAAAGTTTTCTAAAACAACTTCAAGGAGAAATCCAACGGTGCGTTCAATTGACCTCGGACCTCGGATCTCGGAGCTTTAAATGACGTCACACACACACGTTAACTGCGTTCCAGATGCAGGTCGGACAAGCATCATGGACGCCTCCAGGAGTACCTGTGTTTTGTTAGCTAATACCTGTCGATAACAAAACACTATGTGATAGTTTGTGCACAAAAACAACATGTCCACAGATTGAACTGATTTTCAGTGTGATTTATTTAATCACACAAAAAGAGGACTTAGCTGCTAATAAACACAAAAGTTACCGCTTCAATGTTACTGTTGGTGCGCGTGCGTGCGTGCGTGCGTGCGTGCGTGTGTCTGTGTCTGTGTCTGTGTGTGTGTGTGTGTGTGTGTGTGTGTGTCTGTGTCTGTGTCTGTGTCTGTGTGTCTGTGTGTGTGTGTGTGTCTGTGTCTGTGTCTGTGTCTGTGTCTGTGTGTGTCTGTGTCTGTAGACCTGGGTCAGTGCTGCAACTCCAGATTATTTCTGTTGTGGATTCATGTTTATGATCTATAACAACATCCTCAAAGCTCATGATTAACAAACTCAGTTGCAGTTTGTCCACACAAAACTTTTCCAGTTTGACGTCAGAGAGGAGCAAATAATCCAGAGAGTGTTCACTAACCACGCTGTGGTGACACAATGAACCGACCTATTGTTTATCAAACATATTGTTACAACTTAAGTCATGTACCTGATTCAAAATGAACGTCTCTAACCTGTTGTGTAAAACTTTTTTATCACACTTGTTTCATGTCGTTCTACTTCCTGGAAGAAAGTCAGAGTGTTGCAACAAACAATACCCGACAGAAAAGTTCAGGTTTTGATAAAAACATGACATCTGACATTTAAATTCAATGTTGCCTTAAAGTATTTTAACCCTCGAATGACTGTGGCACAGTGGTTAGTGTGCACGCCCCACAGAGGCTGCAGCCCTCCAAGCAGACGGCCTGGGTTCAAATCCGATCTGTTGCTCCTCTCCCTGATTTCTGCCTCCATCCACTGTCCCATCTCTACATTTAAGGCTTAATGAGTTTTTTCACACTTAAATATAATAGAAATCAAGTATCAAGTTGTTTAATTGAGGGACTAGAGAAAAGAAGAATAACATACTGTACTCACTGCTTAACTGTGTTTCTAGATCACGCTCATTTCAGGTAAATTTACATGCAGTGTGAAGATACCAGCATAATAAAGATCGCTAGCATTAGCATGCTAACACAACAATGCAGCGCAAGTTGTTTTGGTTTCATGCTGGTGCTCAAGGGCGACATCTGCTGGATCAAAAAATCGCCTTTAAAGGCATAAAAAGGCCCCCCCAAAAAACAAATAAAACATTTGAACCCTAATTTATTTAAAATCACGCTTCAGTCTGGACAAACTTGACTCAGCTGACATCCACAGAAAGCTTTGGGTGTTCAGCTGCTCTGTCACAGTCAGTGTGTTCAATCTGTTTTCTGTTTCTCACTTTTTTAATTTACGAGAGTGGGTACAACTCGTTCGATGGTTGTGTCTTGGTTCTGCTTCCACTTCAAGTAGATCAAAATCCATTTTAGACGTGAATCAAACGTTGTCTTTAAAGACATCATGTCGTCAAATATTGAGTTTTTTTTAACCCAATGGATTTAAATGTACTGATTGTTGAGAGAATAAATTAAATGTTTATTCCAACATGAGATTCCTCTTTGACTTTGACTACAGAGCAAATCTAAAGTAAGGCTTTACCTTCATGTAATCTGACCGGGTTAGATTCCTCACTAAAGGTCAGTTCATTTCATTTTTACAGCCCGTCTCTCTGATTTAAATCCCTCTCAGATTGGCTGTGTCTGTTGGTTTTAACCTTCTGCCTTTGATGACATTCATTCAAAACCTGCTTCGTTTTTCACTCTGACCTACGTGGATAATCCCACTGTTTGGATATCAGAGATATGTCTCTGACTGAACGATGTATATACCAAGTTCAGCAGAAAACCGTGCTCCTGTTTGTCTCTCCATCTGCGGCATATGGTAACTTATTACAAGCTCAGATGTGTGCAAACAACACGTCACCTTGGCACAAAGTTTTTAAGCCACGAGAGCAGATGAGCAAAGTCAATACGGATCTATGCAACCATTTTGTACCTCAGAGTAAACAGTCCTCTCTGCACAGGGCGCACACTGTCCAGGAGGACTTCCTCTTTTATAGGAGCCTTACAAAATCAAGTGGTTGTTTATCTCTGAAATAAGACCGTCAGTGAACCAGAGGTTGCGTTAGAATGTCTGGATATTCTGTATTAATGTGTTATTAGCCGGCACCCTAAAAAGTTATATCCATGAAGGGTCCTGCATGCAGTTGATGTGCAATATGTGAATTAATAAAAAGTACTTTAACATTAACAAAACATATTTTGCCCCCCATGTGAGGACGATTCTGACGTCAAGTCGGGCACCTCATTCTTTACAAAGTTTCCGAGTTGTTGTTCCAACTTGAGCAGGTGTTCGGAAACTCGTTTTTCCGACCTGTCAGACACCACTTGAATGCACCAAAAGAGCGTTAGGAAACATTCTCAGCCTGTCCTGAACACATAATATGATTGGATGTAACGGGGAAAGACGGGGGGCGTTAATGAGAACTTCTTCTTTCCATCCAATTAGCCTTCAGATGTTTTAGACATCAATTAAATGTAGATTAAATTACCTAGATCCCCTTCATGTAAACTCAAAGGAGTATTTAGTCAACCCCCCCCTCTTTCTCATGGATAAGCAATTATGTTGATACAACTTTATCCATCTCTACTCACACCCATGAGTCCACTCCGTCTGACAGATAATCTTCTAATCCTGCCTCACAGTTTGATTATGTTGCATAAGCATGAAGAATCAGTCTTGTCATTTGTTAGGTTTTATAAAATGATCTAGCTCCCTGAAAAACACTCTGAAAAGATGAATGTGGAGAAGCTTCATTATGTTCAGATGGTAAAGAATCTGATGTGCTCTTGTGTTCATGTGTTTGTGTGTAGGCCGGGAAGCCCATGAAGAAATAAACATCACGTTCACCCTGCCTGTATCCTGGAACTCAGACGACTGTGTGCTGCACGGACACTGCGAGCAGGTGGTGTTCAGCACTTGCATGACCATCACGGCGGCCAACAATATCTTTCCAGTCACAGTGTGAGTTGGCCTGCCTCCCTGACTCAGAGGGGTGGGGGGGGGGGGGACTCTGTGTGTAGCGCCCGCCATTAACTTTGTTACTGTACAAAAATGAAACTAACTTTTTCACTCAAATCTTTCCTGTCACTTTAGCCGATGTTTTGGGTTTAACTCTTCCTACAAAGTTCAATCAAAGTTAGTCAGTGGGTGGGGCGCGCTGATGGCACAATGGTTAGGATGTGCGTCCCGTGTGTTGAGGCTCTCGTCTCGAGCGGTAGGCCTGGGTTCGCTTCCACCCGTGGCCTCTTTCCGCATGTCATTCCCCGCTCTCCCTCCCTGGTTTCTGACTCTATCCACTGTCCTCTCTCTGCATTAAAAAAGGCACAAAAAGCCCAAAAAATAAATCTTAAAAAAAAAAAAAGTTAGTCAGTGGGTGAAATGGCCTGTGACTATAAAGGCTCTGACACACCAAGCAGACCGCAAAGACTACAGCCGACGGCCAACCACCCACCTACGTTCTGCACATACGTGAGAGGAAGTAACTCTCCATGCCAGCAGGGGGCGGTAGTCCATTCATGATACGAGAAGACCATTTTCACACCGCTGTCAGTCACCACTCGTATTATAGGTCGTCTACTAATGGAGAATAATGTCTGATAAAAAGTAGAAAATGGCGCTGGCGTTGTCAGTTCTTGGTCTTTTAGTGGAAAAAAGAAAAGAAGAGGTGGAGGAGACAAATAAGGAGAAACCACACTAATGGGTGAAAGCATGGAGACTACAGAGACATGCTCAAGGGGCTTTACTGAACCTGAGAGGAGAGCTGGAGAGAAATGAAACCTCCCAACAGCCAATCAGAGAGATCCCTCAACATGTCGAATCAGCCAAAAAAAGACAAACCGGGGCCGATGGAGCTAGAAACACCGCAAAAACTAGGGCTCCTTGGTGTGTCAGGGCCTTAAGACAAAATGTCCCACTAGTATAAAGGCCAAACACAGAGGTATTGGATTCTTGATATAAATGAAAAGCCCAAACTGTGAACATACTGTTTATTCCTGACATCTGCATAGAGGTTTGTTATTGTTGTTAAATGATAAATTGAGCTTGTATAGCGCTGCTGTAAAGACATCGGGGTCGTACTTGCTGTATGCGACCCCTCCCACTCTCATTACAGTAGTACAATAAATTAGCTATTTTCCATCACGTGATGACTGATAATGTTACTTTCTTTGGATCCGAGCAGCAGCACTGCATTTAATAAAACATACATGAGAGTTTGCAGCAGTTAAATGGAATGACAGATGTTTGCAGCAGATGTTGTCAGCGGTATGAAATGTATGTCAGTCCCTCGAGTCGTCCAAGCTACATAATAAAACTTGGTCGTTTCCTGTAATGTTAAACTTGCTCAGCTCGATGCAGTCTTCTACAAACTCAAATAGTTTCCCAGAAAGATAGAAAAGTCGTCCCACTGGTCTTCAAGAGATCACGCTTTGTTAATCTGATATTAAAAACAAGGCTGCATTCTAGAAACCAGATTAAAGGTCACATATCCTCCTCCTCTTCTTCAGTGTAAATAATTCTCAGAGCTCCCTAAAACATGTGTGTGAAGTTTCTTGTTCTAAATCCACTTTGATCCTGTATTTGATCATGTTTATAAACCCCTCTATTTCAGCCCTGTTCAGAACAGGCTGTTTCTGTGTCTGTACCTTTAAATATGTAAATGAGCTGTGTCTAACCACGCCCCCTCTCTGGAAGGTCTTGGGTGTACTCGGGCTTTCTCGCTCCATGTCCTATTGTTTACGGTGAGAAGGCAGACTCAGAGGGCTGAACACACACCTAGCTGTGGGAGTGTCACCCACCTGGGGGAGGGGGTTACTGCCCTTTGTGATGTCATGAAGGGAAAATCTACAAACAGCCTGTTTGAGCACACATTTTCTGAAAAGTGGAGCATGCAAAAGATGGAGAGGATGGACTTTTCTCATCGTTGGGGGGTTTGTAGACAGACTAGAGACACATGTTACTGTTAGAAAAAAAAGTACTCCAGGACTCCAGTAAGTAACTCTGTCCCTCTCTGTTGTGGTTTATAGGCAGCCGCCACACTGCGTGCCAGAGACGTACACCAACGCCACATCCTGGTACAAGGTGTTCACCACAGTCCGTGACTCTGACACCAAGTACAGTCAGGACTACAACCCCTTCTGGTGTTACAAAGGAGCCATCGGCAAGGTGTACCACGCACTCAACCCAAAGCTTACAGTCATCGTGCCTGATGTGAGTCACCTCACTTTATTTTAAGGTTTTTGATTCTGACTTTTAAAGCACTTAACGGTCTGGACCCAGAATATATATCTGAAGTGCTGTCCCCTTACAAGCCTTTTTGTCCTCACTTCTACTAAGCAACATTCAGCAAAGTTACAGATAAGAGGAGAAACATCCTTTAGCTGAAGCAGACTCATGATGAAGAGGGATCTGCTGAGACTTGTGTTTGAATGGTGGGATAGAGCGAGATGCAGGAAGAAGGAGACGGATAGAGACAAACAGAGTGTCAAAAGTTAATTAACAGACTGGATTTCCTGTAAAACAGCATCCTGGTTAGGATAGAAGAGCTACTTTACAGCATTTTCTTCAATACAACAACATGACTTGACCCTTAAGCGAGTGAACTTGAAGTTATCTTTTTATGTTTCATTTTCAATTTCCTAGTTTGGGATCAAGAAAGTAATTCTATTCTATTGTATTCTATATTTTATACCCTGACCTGCATTTAATCTGTTTCAATGTTAATGTTTTTTAAGTTGTTGTTGCAAGCTAGGAAGAAACAAATTCAGAGAACCCCAGTTCAGATTATCCATCTGTGAATCTTCAGGCGGGGTATACGTCCCTCTCCCTCCTATAAGACGAGCTAAATGTGACTGAACATGGAGCCCATTCTGAAAGCCACGTGGTCTTAGTTCTATACCGATGGCAGTAGATTGTTCCTGCTAAACAATGATCCTATTGTCGGGCCTCCACTGTGCACTGAACGGTCCAGTGAGCCTGAAAACAAATACATGACGTGCCTGGACTGTTACCTGATCTCAAACACACAGAGGATTAAAGAGTGGAGCTAGAGACCATTGTTTCCATCATCAACAACAAATGACAGAGATGGAATGACTCTTGACCTTTCTATTTCTAGGTGAGGTAGATCATTCTGTCAAAGGTGAGGTAGCTCAGGTGAGGTAGCACACTCTGTCAAACGTGAGGTAGCACACTCTGTCAAAGGTGAGGTAGCACACTCTGTCAAACGTGAGGTAGATCATTCTGTCAAAGGTCAGGTAGCTCGTTAATGTCAAAGGTGAGGTAGCTCGTTAATGTCAAAGGTGAGGTAACTCGTTAATGTCAAAGGTGAGGTAGCTCGTTAATGTCAAAGGTGAGGTAGCTCAGGTGAGGTAGCTCGTTCTGACAAAGGTGAGGTAGCTCGTTAATGTCAAAGGTGAGGTAGCTCGTTAATGCCAAAGGTGAGGTAGCTCGTTAATGTCAAAGGTGAGGTAACTCGTTAATGTCAAAGGTGAGGTAGCTCGTTAATGTCAAAGGTGAGGTAGCTCAGGTGAGGTAGCTCGTTCTGACAAAGGTGAGGTAGCTCGTTCTGTCAAAGGTGAGGTAGCTCGTTCTGACAAAGGTGAGGTAGCTCGTTAATGTCAAAGGTGAGGTAGCTCGTTCTGACAAAGGTGAGGTAGCTCGTTAATGTCAAAGGTGAGGTAGCTCGTTAATGCCAAAGGTGAGGTAGCTCGTTAATGTCAAAGGTGAGGTAGCTCGTTCTGACAAAGGTGAGGTAGCTCGTTAATGTCAAAGGTGAGGTAGCTCGTTAATGCCAAAGGTGAGGTAGCTCGTTAATGCCAAAGGTGAGGTAGCTCGTTAATGTCAAAGGTGAGGTAGCTCGTTAATGTCAAAGGTGAGGTAGCTCGTTAATGTCAAAGGTGAGGTAGCTCGTTAATGTCAAAGGTGAGGTAGCTCGTTAATGTCAAAGGTGAGGTAGCTCGTTAATGTCAAAGGTGAGGTAACTCGTTAATGCCAAAGGTGAGGTAGCTCGTTAATGTCAAAGGTGAGGTAGCTCGTTCTGTCAAAGGTGAGGTAGCTCGTTAATGTCAAAGGTGAGGTAGCTCGTTAATGTCAAAGGTGAGGTAGCTCGTTCTGACAAAGGTGAGGTAGCTCGTTAATGTCAAAGGTGAGGTAGGTCGTTAATGTCAAAGGTGAGGTAGCTCGTTAATTTCAAAGGTGAGGTAGCTCGTTAATGTCAAAGGTGAGGTAACTCGTTAATGTCAAAGGTGAGGTAGCTCGTTAATGTCAAAGGTGAGGTAGCTCGTTAATTTCAAAGGTGAGGTAGCTCGTTAATGTCAAAGGTGAGGTAGCTCGTTAATGTCAAAGGTGAGGTAGCTCGTTAATGTCAAAGGTGAGGTAGCTCGTTAATGTCAAAGGTGAGGTAGCTCGTTCTGACAAAGGTGAGGTAGCTCGTTCTGACAAAGATGAGGTAGCTCGTTAATGTCAAAGGTGAGGTAACTCGTTAGTCAAAGGTGAGGTAGCTCGTTCTGACAAAGGTGAGGTAACTCGTTAATGTCAAAGGTGAGGTAGCTCGTTCTGTCGGAGGTGAGGTAGCTCAGGTGAGGTAGCTCGTTCTGTACACTCCACGATATTTAACTCTCGTCTTTCTAACTCTTTCCAGGACGACCGTTCCCTCATCAACCTGCACCTGATGCACACGAGCTACTTCCTGTTTGTCATGGTCATCACTATGTTCTGTTACGCAGTCATAAAGGGACGACCTGGCAAAGTACGACAAACCAACCCCGACTTCTGCCCTGAGAAGGTACAACAGTCACCAGCAGTGCTTTATGACGTGAACAGGTAGTTTCAGACGAGCCTCAACCGACCGCTGATTGGTCCAAGACACTATCCAATCAAAATCTTGATTCTCTGCTTTCTCTGCAAACTGCATGGACCTATGATGAAGCAATCTCAAAGTTAACAATAAGCAGGGGCGGGGCAAAGGAGACTTCAGTCAGCTCTTGTTGTGTTTGGAGCTTTTCGCTTGGTTGCAATAAATCGTCGGGGAAGGATTCGGCTTTTTGAGTTTTGAATCTGCAAAGAACAAATTCTCAAAAAGGAAGCTCAGGAGATCAAACCTGGCAGCCTGATTTTAATTACCGTCAAATCTGTTGTGTGAGACGCACTTTGAAAACCTGTTTTGTTGGCATAACCATATGCAAAAAATGGCATATGGTTAGCTAGGCTAATGCAACGTCAAGGGTTGAGGATGGTTACCTAATGCTTGTACCACAACTTTTTAATATCTATACATTTTACAGTTTAAAAAGGAAATCACAAGAGAAATAAACTATTTAGATTCACAACAGCAATCTCCAAAACAGCCACTAGTTTGCTAGCAGGAAATGACAGATTGTTTTTTTAACAGGATTCATCGTGCGTAGGTTTAAAGTTAAAAGGTTTTTGCACAAGAATGAAATCAAGTATTTTAAATAATTATGCTTCCGTAATTATTTTTTAAGCAGATTAAAGTCCCACATTCATCGATAGTGATGCACAAACATAAGCCCTTTAAACCTAAGAACACCGTGTTACACGCTGCTCCTCGCTCTGCCTGATCGGTGAGTGGTTGCATTTCGCTCCCAGAGGTAATCAATGATCCCCGTCGTGTGTGTGTGTGTGTGTGTGTGTGTGTGTGTGTGTGTGTGTGTGTGTGTGTGTGTGTGTGTGTGTGTGTGTGTGTGTGTGTGTGTGTGTGTGTGTGTGTGTGTGTGTGTGTGTGTGTGTGTGTGTGTGTGTGTGTGTGTGTGTGTGTGTGTGTGTGTGTGTGTGTGTGTGTGTGTGTGTGTGTGTGTGTGTGTGTGTGTGTGTGTGTGTGTGTGTGTGTGTGTGTGTGTGTGTGTGTGTGTGTGTGTGTGTGTGTCATCTAGCCAGACGACATAACCTTCACGTATCACCTTTCATCAGCCAGCTAACAGCAGTCCACAGAGCTCTGACTCATTGTCTGAGTCAGAGCTCACACACACACACGGGGGATGGAGTGTCAACTGAGCTAAAATTAACCAGTTTTATATACAGGCAGCTGTGGGGCGGGCTAAATAACCATCATATCACCATACAAGTTTTCTGTGATTATTGATATATTGCGAGAATCACGATACCTGAATAAGTGAAGAATTTAAAATGCTCCTTCAAAATAAAAGCACAGAATCCATGTAAATATATTCACTGCAACTTGGTGACAGTTTCCCCGCCTATCATGCTTCATCTCCTCTCTTCTTTTCACCGCTTTCTTCTTCTTTTATCCCGTTTTGTTCACCAATTACTTCCGTTCTGTTGCCTCGGTTCATGTCATGAGCGCCTCAGTTAGAAATCATGAAGTGGCTCGGAAAGATGAATCGGCCAACTGATAATATCGGCCGGTATTAGCACATCAAGTCGGCTAATTTGATCGCCCATGTTACTAGATAACTCCTTCATGTGAACGCGAGGGGAGACGGGTTGGAGGTGTGTCTCTGTAGGAGAGCGGAGGCTTCAGTATGGAGGAGGCGTGGCCAAACAGCAGTTTGTTTTGGTTTCATGCTGGAGCTCAAGGGCGACATCTACTGGATCAAAAAAAAAAAAATACTGGTGGAGATCTGATCAAACTTAGATGATTATTTCTGTTACTTTTTAATCCTCTGCTTTCACTTTCTTTCTCTCTTTTATCTGTTTGTGGTGGTGGTGGTGGTATGCTTCTTTTGTTTCTCTACAGGGCCGCAGTGACTCTCTCAGTAACCTCCTGTCTTCTGTTTCAGGTGGCGTTGTCAGAGGGTTAAACAGACACCCGAGAGATGTGTGAGAACTTACTTGTGAGACGGACAAAACTCCAAGAAACAGAAGAAATAAAAAAAATTAAAAAAATAAACATACCAGTTGCCTAGTGAACCTTGGAAATACAATAAGGGGACACAAAAGCTCTGTGAATGCATTATCCTTGCAATGTTGGGTTTCTCCAACCAAAGATATACAAGTGCCTGTATCTGTCGTGTAAATATTTGTAGGAACTCTGATATTCTGTTCTTTTTCTCTCGTTTGGTTTGTTTTTTGTTTCTATTCGATTGTGTTTTTTTTGCCCGAGTCCCCCGTGTGCCATGTCAGAACATGCAGTACATCCATCAAAGCAGAAGGCCAGACCCCAAGAACTGCACCGCCATTCATCATATCATCAAGACTCATTTATCGAGCAGGTTAAAAAAAACAAGAGGAAACGGGGAAGGCTGCACGGTGGTGCAGTGGTTAGCAAGGAGGTTCCTGGTTTGAATCCCTGTCTGTTAGGAGCCTCTCTGTGTGGAGTCTGCATGTTCTCCCCCCGGGCATGTGTGGGTTTTCTCCGTCTTCCTCCCACAGTCCAAAGACATGCTCGATAGGTTTAACTGGAGACTCTAAAATTGCCCGTTGTCCGTCTCTATACGTCCGCTCTGTGATTGGCTGGCGTACTGTCCAGGGTGTAACCCCGCCTCTCGTCCAATCACAGTTGGGATTGGCTCCAGCCCCATGCGTCTCCGCACTTGAAAAGCGGTATAGATAAAGGATGGATGGATGGAACGGGGTCCACCTACCACTGAAGTTGGTTTATCTCTCGCTTTGTTGCATTCAGATCTGTAATCGCGGCGTTTCTAACTCCCACGATAAGAAGCCAAACGTTAACTCTCATGAGACATGTTCGCTTGTGATGCCGTTAAGGATGAACTCATCACTGAGCACTTATCGCTGCAGCTTCAGCGAGGAAGCAAGTATGAATTTAGCACTTTTTCTCCGCCCCCGACATTTTGAACAAAAACCCCGTCTGATAACGATGCAAACACTTTAATTTATTAAACTGAACTCTCAAATTGTGTTTTATTTTTTTTGCATTACCTAATTAACAATCCTGTTTGCTCCCTGTGAATGTGCGACGTCAGAGCGAGGAGAGTTTAGATGATGCACATTTCTCTAAAACGTCTGGACAGTGAAGTAACGAGTCCCATTGTCTGCGTTTGTGTTCTGTAAGACTTGTCAGCAGGTCGGAGATTTACTGCAAAGCTTCCTGTGGTTTTTGAGGATATTTTTTTATTTGCTGCACTTAAAATCTGAGTTTCTGCCTTTTTTTGTTTTTTCTTCCTCGGTGGCTTCATCGCCGCTCACCTGCCTCGCTCTTTACGTTTATTTGCTGCAGCCGTTTTTGTCGTTTGTTTTGCTTCCCACAGTTTATCTGATGTTGGACTCCATCTTTTTTCCGTTGCACCTGGATGAAGCAGAACTTTATCTTGCCTTACTCACGGCTGACTTGCTAACTGCGACTGACTGCTTGCTAAAAAAAAAAAACAACACAGGGAGATCCATATCTGTCCTCCCGTCTTCTACAGCCATCCTCCTCTTCTTGTTTCTTCCATTTTTCAAGAGCCTGTGGTTTGAAAAATTAAACTTGTGACCTTTTTTTATTTTCCTATTAATGTAAATGTTTTATTTGAGGAGGCATTTGAAGGTGTGCTCATGTGTTTGCATAGTTCCTGCACCTTTTTTTCTTTTTTAGATTTCTTGCACATTTTTTGGTTCTCTGCCCCTGTGATGATTTCTTTTTTTTTACTTTGTCCAATATCACATGTAGAAAGTCTGATTTTGAACTCTAGGAACCTTTATAAAAAATGATGATATATAAGTATATAATTATATTTATATAGCTGTGATGTTATGTTACGTTTCTTTTTATTTTCTTGTGATTTTTGTGGTACAACAAAAAGTCACCTGGGGCGAGAGTTTGGGAAATGTTTGGATGCATTGAGGTGGATTTAGACTGTTTCTGAAATGTGGTTACTAGGCAACCAAATGTTTAGTACTTAAAGGATACTAAAGAGGAAGACAGAAAGATCCCCTGACATACTGTTAAAAAGTTTAACTTGAATTTTCCCGACTCCTCAGCGGTTTTCACACATGCACAAATTTCTAGAAATCATTTTTCCTGCTGTGTTCACACATTTGCTCACCCCGACTTCACGCACTAATTTCATCAGGGGGGAGGCAGGAAGACTTCAGGGTAGGGTCGGTTGAAAGAAATGTGGCCGTTTGCGTTCACACATGCAGCTCATACTGGAAGTTCATAAATATTTTCAGGAGATTTGTGCATGTGTGAAAACGCCACCAGAGCTGTGGATATAAAAAAAAGATTATCTTCCAAGATTTGATCATTTCTATCTTGATGGCTCACTTTAACAATCATTTAATTTAAAAAACGACAGAATAAAAATGCACCAATTAGATTAGAATACGATTGTTTTAAGTCTAAAGTCCGATTCACACAAAGTCGTCCTCAAGACGTCGTGTCGGCTCCTCGTTCAGTCTTGAAAAGAGAAATCAGAGATTGACAGTCTAAGTCCGCCTCAACACTCTGTCCTGTTCGACTTCCTTTCCAATAATAATTTCTGAAACATCGACCTTACCTCTCGTGTTTTCATTTTGTTCCATCATCGTCGACGTACCTGTTGAATGTACTTTTTCAATAAGCAGCAGAATCCAACTCTGAGATGCAACTATTCCACGTGATCTGAAACCAGGATGTACATTTGTTTTTGTTTGTTTTGTCCAGTTTAAAAAGGCTTTACTTGAATGATGTTTTGGGTTCGAGTGGTGTTCTTATATAATAAGGTTTATTATCCTCCATGTGGCACCAGTGTCACATTATTACATCAAACACTTTGTACATTAGATTTGATTTATCTGTGTGTGTGTGTGTGTGTGTTCATGAACGAGTGAAAGATGTTTTGATTCTTAAAGTTGTGATTTTTTTTTTTCTCCTTCTCCTGTATCAAATGACGCTCGGACAAGTCTTCCTTTTTCCCTCTTGTTTCATTTTCAAGCATGCAAACCGCCGTCACTCCTTCCTGTGCTCTCACGCTGCAGCTTCACTCTCTCCTTTATTTTTATTGGAAGATCCTGCAGCTCTCATTGGACGGTTGGGTCAGTCAGGGTGAAGATGAAGCATGCCAAACCCTCCTCATTAATGTCCTCTTCATCCCTCCTTTTGATGAGTTTTTTTAATCTTGGGTAAGAAATGCATCTGTATAATTGCGATATGCCTTAACATCGTCCACTTTCTTATTTTGATTTTCTTGTAAAACTTCACAAATCCAAACTCTGACTTGTCGTATCACCTCGGGGCTCCGCGAGGCTCAGATGACCATGCTGCTTTTTAAGTGCACACTTAACTGCTTTTTTAAGGAGCAGATGCTTGCGCTTGTTGTAGTTTTCTTCTTTTTTTTAAACTCCTCCACTATATCACTAAGGGGCGGAGTCTCCTTTATTGCATCATCTCGCTGTGTCATCGGCTTTACATCACGAAGCTGCCATTTCACTTTGTGTGTGTGTGTTTTTTTCTTCTTCCTGTCATGTTAGTAGCGCTTACAGGCGAGTATTAAGCCAACTCTGTGCCTTCTGCACTATCCTGCTGCATCCTCCTCCCTGTACATACAGTAGATAGGACCATAGGTTTAATGTGGCTAGATGATCATTCAGACCCGTTTTTCCTCTCCAGTGGAACTGCTGTAAATGAACTCAAGTTGAAATAAAACTCTTAAAAAGTTCAACCAAGCTTTGTCCATGATCCTCCTTTTTTTTTGCTCCGACGCCACAGTTTTTTGTACCTGCTGTCCACACACAGATTTAACGACCTGCCACTGGAGGGAGAGAATTCATTTGCTGTTCACTGAAAGTAAACATTAAAATGGTTGGAGTCCAACGTTCAAGCTGTTCATGTGGGAGGAAAAAAGAAAAAGATAAGAGCGGTGTTTGAACGAGCCTCAAAGTGCCAAATCATTTCTGCTGAAGATGTTTTTCTTAAAAACTGTCATAAGCAAATTTACTCGACGGGAGGTATCAGCCAATTAGTCAGGATTTAGTTTCAGCTGTGGAGGAGAAGCTGCTGTTTCAAAGTTTGGTTTAAAAGAAACTACACTTCATGAGAAACAAGGCAACAGGTTCCTTATATAGGGTTTGATTTTGAAGCAGTTTCTTGAATAATAGAGCTTTGACTCAAAGAATAATCCAGATAATACTTATATATATGGTTAAAGTCGTGGTGGTTTTCAGTCATTAAAGTCTTTCTGTGATTTTTCACTCTTAAATGTAGAAATCAAGTTTATCCTCTGAAAATAACTCTGTGAGTCATGACTGTCTACAATGGGTGTAACACCCGAGTCCCACTGTCTGTGAAGTTTTCAGAGTTTTCAGAGTCCTATCTTCACTTTGTTTACATCGCCCGGACGGCCGGCTGACTCCTCCCCTCGTGTATAAAAGTTGTTTAATTGAGGGACTAGAGAAAAGAAGAATAACATACTGTACTCACTGCTTAACTGTGTTTCTAGATCACGCTCATTTCAGGTCAATTTACATGCAGTGTGAAGATACCAGCATAATAAAGATCGCTAGCATTAGCATGCTAACACAACAATGCAGCGTGAGTTGTTTTGGTTTCATGCTGGTGCTCAAGGGCGACATCTGCTGGATCAAAAAATTGCATATAAAGCCTTTAAGTACAGACACATGCTCTTTTTATCTGCATTTTTTGCCTTTTACTTTGAAAGGACAGCTGTAGAGAGACAGGAAATGCTGGTAGGAGAGCAAGTAGGGGATTTCATGCAATAAAGTTACCGAACTATAGCCTCTTTACATCGGGTGCACAACATAATTGCTCGGCTAACTGGCACCACCCCTGATTTTCCTTATTTCCTTTCCCTTTAAGGCTGCCCAGCGCCAACATAAGAGACGCAGCATTAGTGAGCAGATTGTACGGTGCCCAGGAGGAGACATGGATATGTTGGGGTGTTTGTTTTTTATGCCCGCCTGTCTTTGTACTTTCTCAGCAATCAGGAAACTTTGAAATTAAAGTATGAAGCATAACAGTAAGACAACAACATCTGGGCTTCCCAACTCGAGCGTGACGTCATGGCAACATGGCCGCTGCAGGAATAAGGTCTGTATTAATGTTCTTTAAATAAAAACAGCTTATAAAACGGGTGCGCAAAATACAATTAAAACACAGCTGCAAATGACAAAACTGCACAGGCGTTTGAATATTGATCCATGTGAACATCCATGCAAAGAGATGCATTTGCAGAAAAGGAGATACCCATTCCTCTCAGGAGGCAACAGAAACCAAATAGAGGTAAAATGAGAGTGAATATTTTACGGTTGTTAATCTAGAGGCGAGAAACACGACTCCACATGAACGTGCTCCCTGTCCTCTGGATGTGTAAACAAGCTGCTGTTTGCTAATGGGTCAGATCAACTCATGATGAGAAGTCAATGTCATGACTTCACTTTGTTCTGCTGCCTGCAAAGCTGCAAAAAAAGCATCCGACAAAATGTGACATTTGACATTGAAAATGTCATGCATGCCTGTGTAAACGATAGTGAAGACGAATAAATACCAAATTAGAGAGGGAGTGCAGTCAACCAACAAACATGACCTGCAAACCTGCTCTTGTTTAAATACAGGGAGATAATATTTAACACTAAAACACAAGTAGAGTTACAGCAGGCTGTGCAGCGTGGACCCGACCTGTTCAATCCTGGAGCATCTCCGTCTGCATCTCCTCCCTGGAAGCAGAATAGAGGAACTGTTTCTCGGCATATTCTCACATGCACATCAGAAGAGGCCCGGGGTGTAATCAATGAACTGATAATCACAACAGGGTCCTTAGACGCTTACTAGACTCTTCTCCTCTGTCGCCCCCCGGTGGTGGAATGAACTTCCAAACTCTGTTTGATCTGCAGAGTCCCTCTGCACCTTTAAGAAAAAGCTAAAGACCCAGCTCTTTCATGAATACCTTCTAACTTAATGATGATGGTCTCCATATTATTGATGATGATGATGGTAATGACGATGGTTTTTGTTTGATAACAAGACCAGGTCAAGACCAAGACCAAGGCAGGACTATAGATAGAGACAAGACCAAGACCAGAAATATCACTGAAAATCATCATCTTGTGTGCAGGGGGCATGTCGTTAATTTAGACAGTAACACCGGGAAGGTTGAGGCTGTAACTGGAGGATAAAATGAAATCGTTTTTTTATTTTCCCCCATTCTTATTTATCAGCATTTTCAAAGCTGGACAAACAAAAATAGGGCAGTAACCCATACATATAAAATTATCAATATAACAACAAAACAGATAAAAGATACAAGTAGTAATCAAACAAGATATACGAGACAGTAAATAAACCAAAAATAAAACGTGTATATGCAGACACATAAACACATGGGACGCAGGTGCGGACCCAGGGGTGTCTCAAAGTTATCCCAGAAGGATAACCACAAAATCACAATAGCGATAGATTGGAAAGGGGGAAAAAACTACGAAACTGTATAGAGCCACAACAGGCTTCCTTAATGAAATAAAGCACCGAAAAGGATTAACTAAACCACTGCTGCCAAGCAGCTGACTCAAAACCAAAATTGTCCTGGAGATCCAGAAAACACGAAACAAAAAGGGCGACCTTTGATAACACAAAAGGCTGGAGTCACAAACTCTACAACACCCCAAGTTATACACTGGGAAACAGGAAATTGACATCAAATACACACAAAGTTCTGAGTTGGTGTTTATAAATACACCGACAACTTGAGAAGCCACAGGGAGAACCTCTCACTACCTCTGAAGGTGAGATAATGAGTCAGCACAGAGCTCTGGAGACTCAGGCCCTTTCTGAATATCCACAGTTCAGTAGTCACTTTTCAGTAGGAGTTTCAGCAGACTGAACCCTCGTGGTCATTCAGAGGTCATATTTTGGGTCCACCTCAGTTTACTCAACATTTCAGTATGGATACTAACTTGGAGGAAATGAATTGTGTTTTACCCACAATGCTGTGCGAAATTAAACGTAAATCGTCACATCTCGTCTGCCTCCAAATCAAAACAAACGAGCGTGGATTAATTTAATACATTTCTAATCTAGAGTTAAAGTCCTGACTGAAATCACTACTTTAAATTAACAACAGAAAATAAAACAAATGTCTGCATTATTATAAAACCTTTCCCCTCTATTTAAATAATGATTTCACTATTTAAATAATGATTTCACTATTTAAATAATGATTTCACTATCTAAATGTGTCTTTATTGTTTATTTTATATTCTGTATATTACCGTATTTCATTTGATCTTTCCTTTATGTACTGTATGTTATTTAGTTATTTAAGCTTTTACTTGATTTACATTGTGATATTGTTTTTTGTTTACCTGACTGTATATGAGCATTACTCTTCTTGAATAAAGATAAACAAAAAAACAAAAAAAAAACAGGTGAATGCGGCCGGTTCAGGAAACGTAATGACACCACTTCCTTGCTGAATGAGTCAGACTCCCCACACCTGGGCTTAATCAAATCAGTGCCACACATACCTGATTGAAGTGAGCAGATTCTCTCACCACTCTCATGTGCCTTCACACTAGTTCTCTTTTTTTTTTTTTACACCTCAATACTTTGCATGACAGTATTCAAGACATCTCTTCTTTCTTTTTTTAATGAATCTGATTTTGAAATGTGTAAACAACCTCGCTCCAGAAACAATCTGTCAGCTGGTAAACAAACAAAACAACAAAGTCAGAAGGAACAGGTTACATCTGATGAAAACCCCTTGTTCACAGCTCGTGTTCCTCTTACTGAGGATGACTGACCACATGTAGTCCTGAGTTCTGGTGCTCTACAGTTTCCTCCTGATGGAGCCTTTTCGTTCTGACGTTTCTGGAGCGAGTTTTTTTTGCACACTGCAAAATCAGTTTTATAAAAGACAAGTTAGCAAAGCTTATAAAACTGTAAATGTGTAAATTACAAATGATGCCACCTCACTGATTTCTGATCCATTACTTCCAGTGGCTGTTTGTCAGTTCTGCATGAACACCATCACCAGGTGGAGGTGGAGGTGGAGTTGTTGTCACAGCTAATGTTTAATTCATTCATTTAAATTGTTTTTTCCCTCTCCAGGACCAACAGGGAGCAGGGGCTTGTTGTCACAGGTAACACATTCACAGAGACGTGGAAGAAAAGCCTCCCCTTGAGGATACTAAAACTGACTCTATTATCTGAAGCTGCACTTCTGTGCTGCCACCACCAGAGGGCAGAAGACACAGACGTAAAAAATAAGAGACAGACAGACTTACTTTCTGGGTTTCTTTGCATCATCATCTCTTGAATATTTCTCTACTAAATAGTTTCAGACATTTCCAGGTGGAATTAGTGTTTATAGCAGTGGATGATTGGAGTGCAGTGAATGTCATTTAAAGTCTTGTACTCTGAATATAATGTTTTTTGCTGTTTGTCTAGTCAAGTGTCACAACAGAGCTGAGCATTTTAGTCGTATAATAGTGTTCGCAGTTCAATCTGTGTGAATGTGAGGGGGGGGAGGAGGGGGGGGCTTACAGCGTGTTTTCCTGGAATAAAAAGTGTTTCTCTTCCTTCTTGCTCCAATCCAATGATGTAAGTGTTATTTCCGTCTTTAGAGCACTCCTACCTCCGAGCGGTATTGCAAAAGGCCAAAAATTAAATGCACGAGCCCGCTGATGTGTGAGAAAAGTTTGAGCGTTGTGTG